CTATAAACATGGAAATGAAATGCGAATTATTGAACATCGGTACATCATGATAAAATAATGGTGCATGATAAGTGGTGAATGATTCTTTGTGCAAGTTCATTGAAAAATGAATAAAATGAAGAGAATCAATGCAAAACTAATAACGCGTAACCGTGAGGTAAACAAATATTAGGGATTTTATAATAAGAAATATGAATAGAAGAGTGATGTGGTCCGCGGATACGATGAAGAATGACGGCAAGAAGTGTCAAAATGATAGTAAAATAATATTAAATGGCAGGCACATGGATTAGGATATGGATATGTTGACTGCGATATTGAAACGTTTAGAAGATGGCATTTAGATTGGCTGCTATTGGTTCGAAAGCTCAGTTGAATTGGAGAACTGCATTCAGTAGAGCGATGGATGATGCCATCCTTATTCGAACCAACACTCAGAGACAACCCAATGCCACTCAGCAGCGTCACATTTACAAGCTTACAGCTTTATGCTCATTGGCCGCTGCTTGCATTCGCTGGATGATTCCTAACAGAAACAGACACTAGGCTCGGCAGCTAGCTTAGACTAGCCTGCTCCAGTAGGCTAACTAGGCTTTGTGCGCACAAACACACAATTCATCGTTTTTGCCACATACCTTTTATACCTCTTATATCTAGCACTACCTCTCATTTTACTATTATATTATCCATGAGTTCCATCTAACTCCCTTGCTAATACATTAATTCTAGTTTTATCTTCAGCAGACTAGCTTCATCTTCTCTCTATCTGTACTAGTCCATCGCTTATTCATATATTCCACTCTTATAATACTCATATAACAATATCCTCTAATTTTACCAGACTATTTCATTCTTCCTGACGCAGTGATCGACATTATGTATATCAACTGATCACCACTGATCTCTACTGATCCTTTCATCCCTCTCTTCTTTATTCCAGTATCTATACGTTAATCCATTTCATTGCTCTATTATAATTCGAATTTAACTTTGGTCTTTCACGAACATCTTATTCATTCAGAATTTCCGAACTCAGTAGACAGTCACGCAGAAGTTATTTGTCTACACGGACGGATATTTAAAATTAGAGTTTTGTGAATAGCGGTGTTTGCTAATTCACGTTAGAATCTGATAACAACACATGAAAATAAATTTTTAGGTGTTAATTTGATTGATTCAACTTCACGTCGGTTTATCTACAACATCTAACCGCATCATAGTAGTTTCAAACCTAATAACATCATATATATATATA